TAGTTCTACGTAGGGTTTCCCTTGGTCTTCCACGAGATCTTTTCCCCTGTGATGTCCAAATGAGGGCTTGGTAAGGAAGTCTTGATTTATCCATTCTAAGGGCGTGGCCGACATAGTTCCAGCGGCGTTTTCGTATAAAATTAGACACATACTCTTGCCTGGATTTTTGCCTTATTTGTGTATTGGTTCGGAAATCTGACCATTTGAAATTTAGTATTCTTCTAAGGCATATATTTTCAAAACTGTCTAATTTTGTGTCTAGAGTTTTCGTTGATTTCCAGCTCTCGCATTCATAGGTTAGTACTGGAATCACACAAGAATTGAAGATCTTGAGTTTTGTGTGTTTGCTAAGTGTCTTTGATTTCCAGATGTTAGACAGTTTATTGAAGGCACTAGATGCCAGTGCTATTCTAAATGATATTTCTGGTGCGGTATCTCCTGTAGATGACATCTTGCTCCCTAGATAAGTGAAACTGTTGACTTTTTCAAGGCTGTTGTTGTTCAGCGTGATATCAACTGAACTGTTGGTAAGGTCTAGAATTTTTGTTTTTGCGGTGTTAATTTGGAGTCCAATTTGTTCTGAGAAATTCTGGAGTCGATTTATTTTTTCTTGGGCGTCTGTGTGTTCTGAACTCAGGAGTGCTATGTCGTCGGCGAAGTCTAGGTCTTCCAGAATTTTGTCAACCCATGTATTGGGTTGATATAGCTCTATAGAATTCTCGTTCTCACCTCAATTGACAAAGAAATTTTGCGTAGACGATTTTTTATTTTCATTTTTTTTTTTTGGTAATATTGTGTTCCCTAACACACCCCACTTTTTTTTTTTTAAATGTCCATATAAATATTCTGCAACAGCACAACAACTGTCGAAGTGTGCTAACTGTCAACAAATAATTTTGCAGGGAACTCTGATATTCAGCCCGTTCAACCCTGGAACTGTACGGATCCCTGCCAGCACCAAAAACATCACGAAACTACCCAGTTCAGTAAGTGGTTGTAGATGTGACTCTAACCTTTGCGCAATTTTCAGTCTATCTATCTATCTTCTTTTACCCCACTAGGACATCACACAAGCGATAAACACCCGATGGCACAAAGTGCCACCATGTGGATGAGGATCACCCCTGGAGAGGTCCCAGAAGCCGCGTTCAGCCATTAGACCATATTTATGGCCGGGCTATATTGCGGCCCCTGGAAAGAGCCAAAGAAGGGCTTCAACTAACAAAAAAATTCCATCCCATAAAGGAATGACAAGATGATAACAACTTTCAACGCTGAAGACTGATGATGATGTCTTCCTTGCGGGCTGCCGTAGAGTTTGGCTTTCTCATTACCACAGTGGACAATCTCGAGGATGGTCAGTCTCTCTGAGCAGAGTTAAATTGTAGAAGTTGATGGTTCAAGTAAAACCATAACTTAAGCTACCTTACACATGTTGCTTCGTCTGTCCTTGTGTATGAAACTAGAGTTGATTCAGTGGCATACCCAGGGTCAACGGTGATTGCGATAGGTGCTTGAAGCTGAAACATCCGCCTCTCTCTTGTTGCTGCTTCCCCTACTCCGGCCAGGATCTTACTTAAGAGTATTTATTATGCCCAATTACCAGAAACGTCTATACTCAAAACTCACTCTTTCATATCCATCTGTTTTGTACACTAAGTATTATGGAGCTAGTACATTCAGAGGAGCGCATGGTCGCCTAGTTAGCACCGTGTAGGTTTATGCTGAAGACCCAAGTAAGATAAATAGTAAGATAATAGCGGGGAAAAAAACTATGTGGGGGGCAAAAGTGAACATACTAACGTGCACAGTTGGTGGCGTCTGCACAGTCCTTGCCTGCCTAAACCCGCGGCCTCAAGACCGCCCCTCCCCTCCACGCGACCTACACTGACCTTTAGGAATGTTCAGTACGACCAGCAAAGGCGGTGTAATATTGTTGTCATTCTGCTTGTGTGCGTGATGATTTTCTTGGCTATTTCATTCAGCCGATTCCACTATGTTAAAGTCCTTCAGTTACTGATTTCTTCTTCTACTTCTTTTGTCTCACTGCTTTTACATTTGCTTCTATTTTTTGTGTGTGACCAGACTGTTTCAGTTATTGTACTCTCTAGTTGAGCTATTTTAAGTTTTTCCTCGATGTATGTCACATTCCACTTAAAACATTGTCATTACTTCGAGATTCAGGGAGTTTTGTCTCCCACCCCCACCCTCTACCATCCCACCCTCTATACAGGTTTAGAACAGATGCCAGCGAAATTTGGCAACGACCAAAGATTTGGAACGAAAGTTACATGCATTGAAAACAAATGGCAGTAATAAATTATGAAAATAAGAAGGGATGTATTAAAAAATGAGTGAGTAAAAGAGATAAATATCTGGACATATACCTGTATGGAAGGAGGCAGTTGGAACTGGTGTAACCCCACCCTTCTTTCCCATGTCCTGTATCGATGCAGCATCACTGGAGCGGTTACTGCAGCTCTCATGTGGGTTCCAATCCTAGGTGAGGTCAAGGACGTTTTTACCTGTCACATTTATCCACAAAATCCCCACCGGCATAGTGGATGATGACTGCACTGTCCATTCTAAGGGAAATCCGCCCCTCTCTTAAACAGGGCCCTATAAATAGTGGGCGATGACTGCAGTTTCCACACTAAAAAGTCAGTAATCCAAACGTCCTTTTTAGGACGTTATTTTTTGTTATTTGAAGCCCCACTCTGGCTTTTGCCAGGGGCCGCAATATAGGCAGGTCATCATTATGGCCAATTGTCTGAACGCGGTTTCTGGGACCTCTCCACGGTGATCCTCATCCGCATGGTGGCACTTTGTGTCATCGGGTGTTTATCGCTTGTGTGATGTCCTAGTGGGGTAGAGATTCAGTCAGTCAGTCTGCACTGTCCACACTGACGGAAATCCGCCCCTTTGTCCCACAGGGCCCTATCAATAGAGGTAACTACAGGCAGTAACCGACGGCTCGGATGGTTTCAGGGTATACGTCAATGATATAATTATGGCACCTGGTTTATGATTTTTAGTTTAGAATTTTTGAAAACTGAAAGTTTCTATTGCTGTTTGTATTACATAATATTTCAAGCATGACGTCAATATCTAACGTTTATAATGTCTCACATGCACTCAAGTAATTATATTTTCAGACAGTCATACGTTCAGCTAATAGTAAGTTCAGGTAGTAGTAAGTTCAGACAGCCATACATGCAGACGCACTGTATACTAGACAATCATTAATTCAGACACGGCCCATATTTCACAATCAATCGTTCCGACCCTGGAAAGGGCGGACCCTGGTTTACAAATGCCTGCAGAGGTCCGATATGTCGAAGGAGAGACGCAAATGTCGCAGCCATGCTGTAAACGGACACAATGCCATTACATCTTCGGATTAACGTAGAAGAAGAAGATATTTAAATCACAAGTTTATAAATCTTGTATGCCGTCAATAAAACCTGCTATCAGTCATACGTTGTGTATGCATTAATCTATACTATGACATGTTGAGACATTCATGTTGTGAATACAGGTGAGATGTTGAGACGTTGAGACATTCATGTTGTGAATACAGGTGAGATGTTGAGACATTTATGTTGTGAATACAGGTGAGATGTTGAGACATTGAGATATTTATGTTGTGAATTCAGGGGAGATGTTGAGACGTTGAGACGTTTATGTTGTGAATACAGGTGAGATGTTGAGACATTTATGTTGTGAATACAGGTGAGATGTTGAGACATTTATGTTGTGAATACAGGTGAGATGTTGAGACATTTATGTTGTGAATACAGGTGAGATGTTGAGACGTTGAGACGTTTATGTTGTGAATACAGGTGAGATGTTAATACATTTATGTTGTGAATACAGGTGAGATGTTGAGACTTTGAGACATTCATGTTGTGAATACAGGTGAGATGTTGAGACGTTTATGTTGTGAATACAGGTGAGATGTTGAGACATTGAGACATTTATGTTGTGAATACAGGTGAGATGTTGAGACGTTGGGACATTTATGTTGTGAATTCAGGTGAGATGTTGAGACTTTGAGACATTTATGTTGTGAATACAGGTGAGATATTGAGACATTCATGTTGTGAATACAGGTGAGATGTTGAGAGATTCATGTTGTGAATACAGTTGAGACGTTGAGACATTTATGTTGTGAATAAAGGTGAGACGTTGAGACATTCATGTTGTGAATACAGGTGAGACGTTGAGACATTCATGATGTAAATACAGGTGAGAAGTTGAGACATTCATGTTGTGAATACAGGTGAGACGTTGAGACATTCATGTTGTGAATACAGGTGAGACGTTGAGACATTCATGTTGTGAATGCGGGTGAGATGTTGAGACGTTGAGACATTCATGTTGTGAATACAGGTGAGACGTTGAGACATTCATGTTGTGAATACAGGTGAGATGTTGAGACGTTGAGACATTCATGTTGTGAATACAGGTGAGATGTTGCGACGTTGAGACATTCATGTTGTGAATACAGGTGAGATGTTGAGACGTTGAGACGTTTATGTTGTGAATACAGGTGAGATGTTGAGACGTTTATGTTGTGAATACAGGTGAGATGTTGAGATGTTGAGACATTCATGTTGTGAATACATGTGAGATGTTGAGACGTTGAGACATTCATGTTGTGAATACAGGTGAGATTTTGAGACGTTGAGACATTCATGTTGTGAATACAGGTGAGACGTTGAGACGTTTATGTTGTGAAGACAGGTGAGATGTTGAGACGTTGAGACATTCATGTTGTGAATACAGGTGAGACGTTGAGACGTTTATGTTGTGAATACAGGTGAGACGTTGAGACGTTTATGTTGTGAATACAGGTGAGATGTTGAGACGTTGAGACATTCATGTTGTGAATACAGGTGAGACGTTGAGACATTCATATTGTGAATACAGGTGAGACGTTGAGACATTTATGTTGTGAATACAGGTGAGACGTTGAGACATTCTTGTTGTGAATACAGGTGAGATGTTCAGAGAGCGACCCCAACAAGATGTGCACGTGTACAGTCAACTCATTCAACGATCCCTTCGAGACCTGGTGGCTGCCCGGAGATGCCGGTAATGCGGTTGTCAGCTGATCCATTTACATCATATAGTTGCACATCATCATCGTTATCATCATAAGATCCATCTACGCATTGCAAGTCGGCTCGACTGATTTCAAACACTCTCTCTATTCCTTATCGCAACCGTTTATTCATAAAAGCTTCTTTTTTTTCAGTCAATCCACATGTAACATTGAATTTCTCTTGCACATTCCGCCTGACCTGTCTTTAGGGCAGTTCTTTATATTGGAATGGCTGTAGCTCGGGGTTAGCATGTAGTCTTACCTACCTGGTGGTTAAAGGTTGGAATCTCGATTAAAGAACGTGAATCGAATCAGCAAAAGGTGAGTCTTTAATAGCTGTATAATTATACACTTCCATTAACCACACGTAGTTTTACAATTCAGTAATGAGACTCAAAAAGCCATCCATAAAACAAAGAATGTCATCCAAAAAGGAACTATTTATCTATGATCTGACACAAATGTAACACCGTTAGGTGGGCGGACGACAAGTAGCTAGTCAGTTTGTTTAGCTAGTAAAGTTTAGCGGTAAAGATGACATATCTGTCACAGCATTAAAATCTTGCTCTGGCGATCATACTACCCGCCTCGCTTTGGAAAATCGCCTTATCCACAGCCTTGGCGTTCTTAGTCCAAGAGGTATCAATATCCAACATACCTTCGTCTAAATAGTTCTAATCTTATCACATTTTAAATGTTAATTATTTTATTTTATATTATTACCATATTCTATTTCTTATTAATATCATTTATGTATCATTAACACTTGCATTTCTTTTATTCCCAGTATTGTGACTATATTTTTTAGCCATCGTTTATTTTATTTTATTTCATTTATTCCGCATCACATTTTTTAAACGTCGCTCACGCCACCCCTTAGAGATCTACATACTCTCCATTCCTCGTTTGTGTATCACTTGTGTTTGAAAAAGGCTGCCGGGCCGAAACGTTACGTTGTGTTGTTTTGTGCACGTTTTCCTCTTTCCCATTTTGTTGAGCTTTTTAGTCAAATTTCTCTTGAATTCATTGTTTAGCTAGTAAACGTTACGTCGTTACATATGCAGTATGGAGCCAAGTGTGAAATCTTTTATGTTTCAGTCTTGGAAAATTGTTCTTGAGACAGCCGAGTTACTGAGATAGGTTCATGTAGATCAGTGTTTTTCTCGTGCATGAGGTGGTATTCCGAGTTTGAAACAAAACTGATGATCACATCTGGCTCTATGCTGCATGCGTAACCACGTAACTTTCATTAACTAATACAATTGCGGGTGATGTGCCTACTGAGCAGGAGGCTCTTTTGCCAGACCACTGAAAAGCATTCTCTTTGTTGACTGGTTAGACTGGGTAATATGTATACGGGGTCAGACTGGGTAATATGTATACGGGGTCAGACTGGGTAATATGTATACGGGGTCAGACTGGGTAATATGTCTACGAGGTCAGACTGGGTAATATGTATACGGGGTCAGACTAGGTAATATGTATACGGGGTCAGACTGGGTAATATGTATGCTGGGTCAGACTCAGACTAGGTAATATGAATATGGGATCAGACTGGGTAATATGTCTACGGGGTCAGACTGGGTAATATGTCTACGGGGTCAGACTGGGTAATATGTATACTGGGTCAGACTGGGTAATATGTATACGGGGTCAGACTAGGTCATATGTATACTGGGTCAGACTCAGACTAGGTAATATGTATACGGGGTCAGACTGGGTAATATGTATACGGGGTCAGACTGGGTAATATGTATACGGGGTCAGACTGGGTAATATGTATACGGGGTCAGACTGGGTAATATGTATACGGGGTCAGACTAGGTCATATGTATACTGGGTCAGACTAGGTAAAATGTATACGGGGTCAGACTGGGTAATGTGTATACTGGGTCAGACTAGGTAATATGTATACTGGGTCAGACTCAGACTAGGTAATATGTCTACGGGGTCAGACTGGGTAAAATGTATACGGGGTCAGACTGGGTAATATGTATAGGGGATCAGACTGGGTAATGTGTATACTGTAATAACTTTATAATTAACCATTCTCTCTGCTCAGACTAGGTATTTTGTGTACGGTAATAACTGACTTTATAAGTATTCAGTCTTTCTGCTCAAACTGGATAGAAGTTGTAGTGGTCGCACTCCACTATGATATAAAGACCTGTGCACGCGGGACATAAATGATACAAGTATTGAGGTAGTCTCGTGTAACCAGAATGCCACGGACTGTGTTGTGTGGAAGGGGCAGATCAGGAAAGGATTCAGAATGAAGGAAGAAATGACTGCAGAAAGGATGAGAGCTGAGCGTCTCAGATCAAACAGACTCAACACACATGTTGACAACAACGGTCCTGAAATCCCTTGCTATCATTGTAGACAACTGTTCTTAGCCCGGGTGGGTCTGGCTAGTGACACTCGCCATCGCCGTGGCCTGTGGATCCCATGTTTTCTCCGAGCACAACATAACACGTAGTAGCAGGAGATGTTAACTCCACCAGCACATCACACAAGCGATAAACACCCGATGACACAAAGTGCCACGATGTGGACGAGGATCACCGTGGAGAGGTCCCAGAAACCGCGTTGAGCCATAATACCATATTTATGGTCGGGCTATATTGCGGCCCCTAGCAAGAGCCAGGGTGGGGCTTCAGAATAGAGCAAAATTGCATCTCACAAGTTGATGACCGGATTAGCACACAACACGTCTGGGAAGACGGAACGGTGACACAGGATACTCAGACTAAAATTAAAGATATGATAAATTGCTAGGAAATGTCACTGTAATGATGTTTTGTGATAGATGGCTAGGAAATGTCACCATACATGATGTTTTGTGATATATGGCTAGGAAGTATCACCATACATGATGTTCTATGATAACCGACTCTCTCCACACAGGATACTTTGTCTACTATGACAACTCGGCTCAGCTGGTACCCGGCTTCTCATACACATTACGGGTGGACTGTAGATCTAACAACGAAGGGATGTAAGTTCACATAGGGTCATCTGTTGTTGCTTGCTAACTTATCTCCCTTGTAATGCTACACATCGTAGTCTAGGTAGTAAAGGGGCTGGCTATAAGCTCTCGTGTCCGTACGAAGGTCTGACGTTCAAATCCACATCGACAGGCATTTTTGCAACATTGACATTGGCTCCATGATCCACACAGCCTGACATTGGTAGCAAGTAATATTATGAGAAGTAAAGGCAGCCGTCGTAATGTCGACTACACAATCAAACTAGTGACCTTTATCTTAGAATCACTGATAGTACATGAACACACACACACACATTTGTCTCCATCAATCTGTTAACCGTCTGGGGACCACTATTTGTATAAATAATTTACTGTACAATCACCGACATCAGGTGTCACATAGGGTTCGCAGTCTACTGGTTTATTGCCCTCTGTTCTGTGCATTCATGTCCGTGTCATGGATTGATTCCAGTCAAGCAGCTTTGACATATCTCAATCCACGTTGTTCTCGGAGTTTCAGTTGTGCCCCCTGGTTTCCGATATCAAATTGTATTTCAGCTCAATGTAGCGCCAAACTGTTTGTCTTGAAACAGTTGTTACCATTGTTTGTCTTGAAACAGTTGTTACCATTGTTTGTCTTGAAACAGTTGTTACCATTGTTTGTCTTGAAACAGTTGTTACCATTGTTTGTCTTGAAACAGTTGTTACCATTGTTTGTCTTGAAACAGTTGTTACCATTGTTTGTCTTGAAACAGTTGTTACCATTGTTTGTCTTGAAACAGTTGTTACCATTGTTTGTCTTGAAACAGTTGTTACCATTGTTTGTCTTGAAACAGTTGTTACCATTGTTTGTCTTCAAACAGTTGTTACCATTGTTTGCCCAGACATGTCTCTTGTTTCTTCATGTTTCTTGATCTCATAAATTACACTTGTCTATAAATGTCTGTGTCTGGCAACAGAAAGCAAAAACCAACTATCATTGTGCCTTACAGATTTAATAACTCTTGTGCCAGCACAAAATCCATAGACCTTGTTGAATGTATCGAGAAGTGTTGTATTCCACATTCTCCTGGGTTAAATACTGCTGGTCGTTGACGTTAAGCACACCGGTCATGAGTGTTAGTTTCCGGCCCACTTTCTTCGTTACATAACTTCTTGATTAACAGTGTCCATGTTTTTGCTGCTTTCTCTATGCTCACTCATATTTTATTGCTGTTTTGCTTCCTTTTTGTGCTAAAGTTTAAAAGTTTCTAAGCACCTGTCATATTAGCTATAACCTTCGTACAACTTGATATTTCTTGTGTCTTTTTGTACTTATCTGAGCAATGCCAGGTAACACTTGGTCGGGTTATTTTATGTGGCGAGTGTCTTTTTGTACGTGTCTGAGCAATGCCAGGCAGATAACGCTAGGTCGGTTTACTTATGTGGGACGTTTCTTTATCTTACTTTCAGTTATTGAGTGTTGTAGGTAACAAATTGCATGTAAAGTGAATATTATTTCACAATTAATTATTTTAATATTATGTGAGAGGTGACATCTATGCCATATCCAAAATTCTCCATTTTGTAAAAAAAAAAATGTGTTTGATCAGTCATTGTACCCGTTGTTTATAAACACAAAATGTCATCTCAGTCGTTTCAGGCAGTGCTGTTTAAGACAAGTAAATTTCCAATTTGTATCATTTATTGTTTAGTTTATGTGAAATGTGTCATTTCATTAATTTTATGAATCAGTTATCCATGTGAAAACAGTCGTCTCAATAAAATCACACGTTGTTTACCCCTGCTGGTGCACCCACCCCTCCTCCCACGCCTCTTCAATGACCGCCAGTGCCTCCACTCAGATGTTGACTGTAGAAATCACCAAGAACCAGCCTCCGGTCATTGTCAACTATAACACAGGTGACTGGTCTGTAGGGCAGACTGACCGCTGCCAGTGTCTGTGCTGTGTTTGTGTTTTGTGTGTGTTATGTGAATGCATGCACATGTGATTTAGTATTCTATGCATAAGTGTGGAAAGTGAGATGGGGTGAAGTGTGTGTGTGTGTGCAAGCGTGCGTGTGTGTGTGTGTGTGTGCGTGTGTGTCGTGTGTATTATGTAAGTACATACACTTTTTATTTAGTTCGACGTTAGTCTCCCAGAGAAAGTAGGTCACGTTCCATTAATAACTTTGTAGGACTGGTCTACCTTGCTTGACTTTACGGGTGTGCCGCTCTGTGGTTTGCTTTCTGTGATGTTTTGCATTTACGTTTTTATTCCGAAAAAGAGAATTCATGTTACATAGGTTTCATCACTTTCTAAATGGGTTGTGTGTTAGACCCAGTTTGTCGATGTTTTTGTAGTGTTAAAAGCGCTGGCATGCTGAAATATAGGACAAATGATAACAATGGCATTGGGGAGAACACCCCTCTACTTCTGCCTTGTCGGGAGGCTCAATGTCGACCAATCAGAAGTGAGCTAGTGTGTAAGAGTGAGTAAATGGGGAGACTTCCGTCGAACTAACCCACTTGTTATTTAGTATCCCATACATAAGTGTGTCTGTGGTAAGTGAGATGGGGCGATGTGTGTGTGAGTGTGTGTGCGTGCGTGCGTGTGTCTGTGGTAAGTGAGATGGGTAAATTTGCGAAAATTCATTAAAATTCAATTTCTGAGAGAAATCATGAACATAACATGGTAATAATTAAAAAAGAGTGAGGAGATCCGATAAATGCCTGGACAAACACCTGTATGGACTGCAATAAGACAAAGAAAGTGGAGATATATTGGGTACACTCTGAGGCGAAATTAGCAAAGAGATACTAAACAGCCGCTGGAATTTGAAACAAACGGTCTAAGAAAGAGAAAACTTGCAAGGGAAACATTAGGAAGAACATTTTTACAAGTGGCCAAAATTGCTAGGCCAAAGGTCCTGTCAGAAATGAATCGACTGCGTGCCCTCTGCGATGCCTAACGGCACACACATGATGATGAAGATTTATTGAATAGATACGGTGTTAGAATGCACATCTGCCGCACTCTCTTTTGAACCTGGAACCAGTTTAATGTTTCTCCAACTGCTCTGAGGCAGCATGTTGTTCTTGCCATAAAAGTTCGTTTCGATGTAACATATGCTTGAAGCCTGATACCTCTCCTGATCCTGCACAATTTCTGATGTCGGACACAATTGAAGGCCAGCCTATAACTAATACAACAAGCATGAAGATCTTCCTTATATTTTTTAACATGTTTCAGAACTTATTTTTATGTTAAAGATGTGATCCTAGTACCTGTACGCTGTCTGAAACCCAACTTGCATCATGTAGCTTATATTCGTTTTGCTTTTCAATAATAATCATGATAATTTGTAAGAGGACTTTGCTAGCGCCGTTGGCTGCATTTTGTTGCTGTTGCTTTCAGTGGTCGTTGCATAGCTACTGGTAAATAATTTGGTCAAATAGCTTGGACTGAATTAATAGAACTGAGTGCTGTAAACTGATACGAATGTTTTGTTGGATTTTACTTTCCATCCCCCAGATTCGGTAACTGTGGACGGCAAGGCCACCAGGCAATACGACACTGTCTATACTGTCCGCTACTCTGACCAGGAGAAGGACACGGTGACCTTTACCATGACTCAAACCCCAGATCTAGGTCACTTCATCATCGGTTTAGGTCAGTGGCTGAGAAATACTGGACCAGTGTTTGTGATCAGTGTTTGTGGTCAGTGTTTGTGGTCAGTGTTTGTGGTCAGTGTTTGTGGTCAGTGTTTGTGGTCACTGGCTAGAAATACTGGACCAGTGTTTGTGATCAGTGTTTGTGGTCAGTGTTTGTGGTCAGTGTTTGTGGTCAGTGTTTGTGGTCAGTGTTTGTGGTCACTGGCTAGAAATAATGGACCAGTGTTTGTGGTCAGTGTTTGTGGTCAGTGTTTGTGGTCACTGGCTAGAAATACTGGACCAGTGTTTGTGACCAGTGGCTAGAAATACTGGACCAGTGTTTGTGACCAGTGGCTAGAAATACTGGACCAGTGTTTGTGATCAGTGTTTGTGATCAGTGTTTGTGATCAGCGATTGTGACAAGTGTTTGTGACCAGTGTTTGTGACCAGTGTTTGTGACCAGTGTTTGTGACCAGTGTTTGTGATCAGTGTTTGTGACCAGTGTTTGTGATCAGTGTTTGTGACCAGTGTTTGTAACCAGTGTTTGTGACCAGTGTTTGTGATCATTGTTTGTGATCAGTGTTTGTGATCAGTGTTTGCTATCAGTGTTTGTGATCAGTGTTTGTGACCAGTGTTTGTGACCAGTGTTTGCGATCAGTGTTTGTGACCAGTGTTTGTGATCAGTGTTTGTGATCAGTGTTTGCGATCAGTGTTTGTGACCAGTGTTTGTGACCAGTGTGTGTGACCAGTGTTTGTGATCAGTGTTTGTGATCAGTGTTTGTGATCAGTGTTTGCTACCAGTGTTTGTGACCAGTTTTTGTGATCAGTGTTTGCGACCAGTGTTTGTGACCAGTGTTTGTGATCAGTGTTTGTGATCAGTGTTTGTGATCAGTGTTTGCGATCAGTGTTTGCTATCAGTGTTTATGATCAGTGTTTGTGATCAGTGTTTGCTATCAGTGTTTGTGATCAGTGTTTGCTATCGGTGTTTGTGATCAGTGTTTGCTATCAGTGTTTGTGATCAGTGTTTGCTATCAGTGTTTGTGATCAGCGTTTAAGAAGAAGTATAGTTAGTTCTGAACAGGACGCTACAGTATATAGCCCAGTCCAGTTTTAGATAGCATTGTCGAAACCACCGCAAGGCTGTCTGCGGCCAAATCACCCACAGCTGTGATTGAACCTGATACATAGGTATTACAAATCGTGGTGGCCACTCTGAAATCACAAGTGCCGACAGTAATGTTTAAAGACGGTCTAAATTTAGACCAACGTGTCATTAGCCCATTATTTCAATGGCGTATTAATTTACCAAATTATTTGTGGTATTTGAGTACAAATTCATTAATTAGTATCCGCATTATTTAAATTCCTTCATTAGTGGTTGCTTTATACAAGGAAGATGAACACATTTGTTTTTGATTGTTTATAGTTCTTGATTGTTTATAGTTCTTGATTGTTTATAGTTATTGATTGTTTATAGTTATTGATTGTTTATAGTTGTTGATTGTTTATAGTTATTGATTGTTTTAGTTATTGATTGTTTATAGTTATTGATTGTTTATAGTTATTGATTGTTTACAGTTATTGATTGTTTATATTTATTGATTGTTTATAGTTATTGATTGTTTATAGTTATTGATTGTTTATAGTTATTGATTGTTTATAGTTATTGATTGTTTATAGTTATTGATTGTTTATAGTTATTGATTGTTTATAGTTATTGATTGTTTATAGTTATTGTTTGTTTATAGTTATTGATTGTTTATAGTTATTGATTGTTTATAGTTATTGATTGTTTATAGTTATTGATTGTTTATAGTTATTGATTGTTTATAGTTATTGATTGTTTTAGTTATTGATTGTTTATAGTTATTGATTGTTTATAGTTATTGATTGTTTTAGTTATTGATTGTTTATAGTTATTGATTGTTTATAGTTATTGATTGTTTATAGTTATTGATTGTTTTAGTTATTGATTGTTTATAGTTATTGATTGTTTATAGTTATTGATTGTTTATAGTTATTGATTGTTTATAGTTATTGATTGTTTATAGTTATTGATTGTTTATAGTTATTGATTGTTTATAGTTATTGATTGTTTATAGCTATTGATTGTTTATAGCTATTGATTGTTTTAGTTATTGATTGTTTATAGTTATTGATTGTTTATAGTTATTGATTGTTTATAGTTATTGATTGTTTATAGTTCTTGATTGTTTATAGTTATTGATTGTTTATAGTTCTTGATTGTTTATAGTTCTTGATTGTTTATAGTTCTTGATTGTTTATAGTTCTTGATTGTTTATAGTTATTGATTGTTTATAGTTATTGATTGTTTATAGTTCTTGATTGTTTATAGTTCTTGATTGTTTATAGTTATTGATTGTTTATAGTTATTGATTGTTTATAGTTATTGATTGTTTATAGTTATTGATTGTTTATAGTTATTGATTGTTTATAGTTATTGATTGTTCATAGTTATTGATTGTTTATAGTTATTGATTGTTTATAGTTATTGATTGTTTATAGTTATTGATTGTTTATAGTTATTGATTGTTTATAGTTATTGATTGTTTATAGTTATTGATTGTTTATAGTTATTGATTGTTCATAGTTTTTTATTGTTTATATTTAATGAATTGTTTATAGTTTTTGATTGTTTTAGTTATTGATTGTTTATAGGTAATAATTGTTTATAGTTTATGATTGTTTATAGTTAATTATTGTTCATAGTTAATTATTGTTTATAGTAATTGTTTGTTTATAGTTTATGATTGTTGATAAAAAATTGCCCACATCATATATTCGACGTCATGCAACCAGAACACTACACTCATGTACACACATACAGACACACTCATGCACACACATACAGACACACCCATGCACACACATACAGACACACTCATGCACACACATACAGACACACTCATGTACACACATACAGACACACTCATGTACACACATACAGACACACTCATGCACACATACAGACACACTCATGCACACATATACAGACACACTCATGCACACATATACAGACACACTCATGCACACACATACAGACACACTCATGCACACACATACAGACACACTCATGCACACACATACAGACACACTCATGCACACACATACACACACACTCATGTACACACATACAGACACACTCATGTACACACATACAGACACACTCATGCACACACATACAGACACACTCATGTACACACATACAGACACACTCATGCACACATACAGACACACTCATGTACACACATACAGACACACTCATGTACACACATACAGACACACTCATGCACACATACAGACACACTCATGCACACATATACAGACACACTCATGCACACATATACAGACACACTCATGCACACACATACAGACACACTCATGCACACACATACAGACACACTCATGCACACACATACAGACACACTCATGCACACACATACAGACACACTCATGCACACACATACAGACACACTCATGCACACACATACAGACACACTCATTCACACACATACAGACACACTCATGCACACACATACAGACACACTCATGCACACACATACAGACACACTCATGCACACACATACAGACACACTCATTCAAACCCATACAGACACACTCATGCACACACATACAGATACACTCATGTACACACATACAGACACACTCATGCACACACATACAGACACACTCATTCAAACCCATTCAGACACACTCATGCACACATATACAGACACACTCATGCACACATATACAGACACACTCATGCACACAAATACAGACACACTCATGCACACACATACAGACACACTCATGCACACACATACAGATACACTCATGTACACACATACAGACACACTCATGCACACACATACAGACACACTCATTCAAACCCATACAGACACACTCATTCAAACCCATACAGACACACTCATGCACACACATACAGATACACTCATGTACACACATACAGACACACTCATGCACACACATACAGACACACTCATTCAAACCCATACAGACACACTCATGCACACATATACAGACACACTCATGCACACATATACAGACACACTCATGCACACACATACAGACACACTCATGCACACACATACAGACACACTCATGCACACATACAGACACACTCATGCACACACATACAGACACACTCATGCTTACCCATATACAGAATAATGTATCTTTGTATTTATACATTCATATATGCACAGCTATGCATGCTCATACATTGGCACTTATAATTCACATAAATGCATTCACATATACGTTCGCATACATTCACACATACACATACACATGCACTCATACAAACGCCTACATAGACAACTCTCATGTATACGCATACAATAACATTGACATATAGATATACATATATTTCCAACTTATAGAAGCATTCATACATAAACACACACACACACACACACACATATATATATATATATATATATATATATATATATATATATATATATATATATATATATATATATATATATATATATATATATTCTCATACTTATGCATTCTCTGACGCTTATAACATTTTCACACACAAATTTATATATGTATAAATGCAAATTACACACACAAATTCACATACACACACATACTTACACATAACCCCACCTACACAACACGCACATACACACTTACACATACCTGAAAATTTACACATACTTATGCATGCCCATTTATACCCATACACAATATTTTATTACGAAATGAAAATGCGTTTTGATTTTATCAGTAAATATTATAAAAACAAAACCTTTCACACGCTTGACGTCTAATTTATAGTATGCCATGTAAGTATACTTCTATTGTCAGTACTTTCACCAAACTGTGAACACAGCATGCTTCTGATATAAGACAATGATGCATCAGAAATCGTAAGAAAACACCCAAAAAAGAAGCTGTATACACTAATGGGCTAGGACAAAAGTTCCTGAACTGAGTAGTTCAGTAGCTGGCAGTATTTGGGGGATATTCAGTCTTGGTTCCCTCGTCTACCCAGCCTAACAAAAGTACCAATAAAATGGCCACGATGTAAAGGTGAAAACCCTGAGATTGGCCACTGCGATTTCAATCATACAGTTTATTTTTGGCATATACAAATGTGTTTTTAACGTCATAATATAAACATTTATCTTTACGATAGTAAACAATAAAATATGCTTCACAATTATACATTTGTAAGACATAATATTATAATGTGAGAGTCGCCGTGGTGGAGCGGCTAGACGCTAGCCTGCGGATCGGAAGGTACTTGGTTCGGATCCTGACTGAGCAGGACTTTGTTTTTTCAAAAATGACCTTGGCTGCCAGATGACCCGGCCTTGAATGGACACCAGGTGCATTCCTGGGAGGTAAAAGTGACCGTTGTGATGCTGACCACATCACCCAGCAAAGTGCCGATTGGTCTATAAAATATAGGTCTTGCCCTATATGCCCAACACGCCTAAAAGCGTGGGAAAGGGGTCCTTGACTTTTTTACTGTTTACTAATATTATGATAAACAGTCTTCTCAATGATGAGTTTACGAAGGTTCAGATGGCTGGCGTCATACCTGACCTGGAGAATGGAGGTTGGCAGAGTCCTTGAGAAAATCATTTATGGTGAATTAAAGACGGGTCGAAGAGGCCGACCACTACTACGGTATAAAGACGTGCAAACGGGACATGAATGATACAGGTATTGAGGTGGATTCATGGAAACAAAATGCCATGTACTGTGTTGTTTGAAGGGGGCACGTCAGGAAGGGAATGAGAATGAAGGAAGAAATGACTGCAGAAAGAATGAGAGCTGAGCGTCTGAGAAGAAACAGACTAAACACAAATGTTGACAACAATGGTCCTGAAATCCCATGCTGTAATTGTGGCAGACATTTTTTAACGCAAGTGGGTTTTGCGAGTCACACTCGCCATCGGTATGGGCTGTGAGTCCCGTGCCGCCCTATAGGGCAACACAACAATATCGTCTGGAAAGACGGCAAGGTGCCAATTAAAATTATGACATTACAGTTTCCATTGTTGAATTGTTCTCCTGTTTCTGAGTTGACTTCATCTTCCACCCAACTATCTTTCCCTTGTCACACCCCAGGTGATGGAATTGTGAGGGCCAACACTGACATGCGCAGTGCTCTGGCTGACACCTACATCCTCAACATCACCGCAGACGACTCTTACAACGTGGTGTCCAACTTCTTGCTCACTGTCAGCGTCGTCAGTAAGTCGTGTACATCTCTAGAATGGGACACATATAGGGTAATCCCAACATAAGCTACTTATAGAAATGGGGAGATAGAAGGAGAGGCAAGTGGTTCGGGAGGGAGAAACTATATATTTTTCCCTTTGGTCCATCTTTCAATGGCACCTGAAACTTCAACAAAGTCATGGCTTTTTTCCCCCCATTCCGTAGATCTTCGAGTAACAACAGATCAGACACTGCAGATGGAAGAGAGCATGCCTTGTTTCTGCTTTCGTACAACTTGGAATAACAAACTGAATATATATCTGCAAAAATTCAACTCAGATCAGACACTGCAGATGGGAGAGAGCATGACATATTCTCCTTTCGCTCATCTTCAGATCGCAGCCTGGATGTATTCGAACAAAGCAGGATGTACCTCATCCAAAGGTTACACAAGGTTATACTGTAATAGTATGTGGCCCTGTAATACTATTGTTAGGATTGAATATGGTTAGTGGGGTCTTACAGTGTTGGGTTTGAATCCAAAAAGTGGATCTTTGATTCGCTGTGTGTCAATCATTAGGCCAGCAATCCCGGAGGAAAAAATTGAAGAAGAGGAAAAATCAGAAGAAGAAATACCGAGAAAAGAAGACAAATTTTATATATATATATATATAATATATATATATACATAATATTTTCCCTACATACTTGTGTTATTTTAACTTTAGCGAATGTTGTACATGTTTGTGTTTTTTCTCTGTCACTCATATATAAATTGCGCCTTTTTTTAAAAAAAGGTTACATTTCACACAAAAAAACGAACAAGCAAACAAATAAAAATCTGCTCTGATTTATCGCCAGAAATTCCACAGTATCGACACCCCCCCCCCCCCCCCCTCCTCACCTCACACCCCCCCCCCCCCACATTTTTTGCCTTCGAACAAATGTATTCTAAGTCAAGAGCATCGTCTTCATTTCCCTGGATTCCCCCCCCCCCCACACACACACAGACAGACACACACATACATATATATTACCTACCGAGTGAGTCTATAGAATATAAGCCTGAAGGCGTAGAACATGCTCCTTTACTTCTGTAATGAGACCTGAAAGTCTATCGAATGTTGCTGCATCTTGTCCACACTAGTCTATGTTTTATCTAGAGCTACCTGTTGTACCATCCCCAGATCGCAACACACAGCCCCAGCTGACCAACTTGCCAACAACCATCAGCATCCCTAAGACAGCCAAGAAAGGCGACCTTATCATCGACCTACTGTTGGTTGACCCAGATCAGTTTGTGCCGCAGAACCCGGTCTGTGCCCCAACAGACCCAACAGACCAGAAGAAGTTTATCTTCGACATGGCCAGTAAGTGACGCAGGCAATAGTTCCTTGTCTGGGAGCCTAGTCTTTAGCCACGTTACTGCGGCACAGTCGTCATTACAACAGCCAGCATCTCCTTGAAGTCCACGCCGTGTGACGCTGGTAATCATGTGTATCCACATCCTTCTGTCTCGTACACTATCAGTTCTACAAATGATGATCTTCCATGTCAGGATATCAAAATGTCCAACATTTTTCTCTCGGTCTCTCTAAGCCTCTCCTCTCCTTCAACTCTCCTGTGGTCGCTATGTACTCTAGTTTTTCTTTCCTTCTTATCAGATGACCAAAGAATGTAGATTGCCATTTTCTGACATGATATTTAAAACACATATCTCCAGGCACACAGACAATAGTATTCCCATGAAATTCACAGCTCACAGTGTCGCACAATGCACTCAGCTACGTAGATGGCTAACGGAACAGGATTACGTCCTTATCTCGTTTATTGTTCCATTTAGTTCCTTGCTGTGAGGAGGGGGGGGGGGGGAATTGAAACCAAAACTTTCCACTGAATTAGTGGGGAGTCCAACACGTGAATGTGAGGTAGGCTTGCTCAAGGGAATGTAAAGTACTTGAAGAGCCTTACAGTGCGCATCATTGGGCCATTGGGTCCCCTGTACACAGTCTGGAGACAGTGAACACACCCGCCCGCCTATCATCAAGTGCTGTATTTTTAATCGATCGCCAGTATTACTGTCCTGAATTAATGTGTTATTTTTCAGTTTCGTAACTAAGTGCTCCGGTTATTTTGCTTATTGATATAGAAGACATTGAATCGGTGGCTTGCTATCAGTGTGTCGCTCTGTTCTATTAGCTTCCTATTTATTGTCTGTGTTAAATTGTGCTATTCCCAGCTAGACATCAATCAGTTCTATTGTCTGTGTTAACTTGTGGTGGACATCAATGAGTTCTATTGTCCACCTTTCAGAAAGCCAGATCAAGGTGGCTTACACCGGTGCCCTGGAGGCTGACACGGCTCGCAACATCACAGTCAACTGTTCGTGGTCGGACGGTTATCTCATGAGGTCAAGATGTTCATCAGAATGTCACTTACATGTATTGTACCACTTACACACATTACATATTTCACTTACATATACTATATGTTTCACCACACAACTTTTGCTAACTAGTTAGGTGCAATGTAACTTATTTAAAATAAAAACTCTCTCTCTCTCTCTCTCTCTCTCTCTCTCTCTCTCTCTCTCTCTCTCACACACACACACATACACGCAAACAGGCAAACATATATATATACACACAAATAGAAAGTCGACAAAGAACTTTTTCCACACCTTCATGCCAATTGGGCATATAAGGCTAGACCTATACTTTATAGACCAGTCGGTACTATGTGGGTTAATGTCGTCAGTATTATACTAGCCGCCTTTACTTCCCATAACTTTACCTGGCACCCATGTAAGACTGTGTCGACCTGTGAGCCAGACTTCTTGAGAATCTGAACCCACGATCTTCAGATCGGCAGGCGAGCGTCTAGCCTCTACACCCCGGCATCTCCCATTTGCGGAACATGTAACGAGCTCAGGCCCAGCTCGGTCCAGCTATCACTTTTGAATGTCGAAGTCGGGCCTGGACACTGTGATTGGACGTTAATTCGTGCCTGTTAACCTTTGAGATGTGTAAGTTTAAGTCGCATGGATGTCAGGTTGTTGCGACTTGTTATTGTCTTGAGCCTAGCGACCAAGCGTTCTCTGTATTACAGGATGTGAGCTGTTTTAACGACCCCATAAAATGTACAACTGGCCCTAACCCCAACCCCCTGACACCACACACTGAACATAGGACCAACGAGATAGTGCATTCTACACCCCTCTGCCGTATACCAGCCTGTCCAATAATCAATGACAAGTCAACTAGTGTGTAGCTGCGCCTAAGTTCGTTACTAGTTCCCAAAACGCTACTACTACTAGGCTATATCAACATTCACCACTGTGTCAGATTAAACCTCGATAACAACAATAACAAGAATTGTTACTACCACGTCTGTTACTGCTATTATTATTATTATTATTATTATTATTATTATTATTATTATTATTATTATTATTATTACGACAGCATCATTACTACCCTAACAACTAAAACTGCTCTTAGATGCATTTGTGACTAGTAAGGCATCCTACCAAGTGTCCAAGGCGTATCACTAGTTCCTGTCACATACAAGAGCTGTCCCATAGAGCGAAACGATTGCTAGATTCTTATAGGAGCACAGGAGGGTAAGGAGAGGTCAACGTCAACAGGAGCACCACAATAAGCCGGGCACAAGTGACAGGTTGCACACTAACGCCCAGTACTGCCCACTCCTTGTATGATCTGATATGTTCAGTCAGTCTTATTTATTATGGCGGCGTATGGAGGAGAATCACTTGTATAAGCTCGAGAAATACAGTGATTTAGCAGCCGGTCTGAGGAGAAATGAGGCGTACACAGTACGGGTCTTTGCCGTCGAAGTTGGAGCGAGAGGCCTCGTTTCCACTTCGCTCTACAATGTGCTTAAAGAACTAGGATTGCGCGGTAATGAACGGAAACGAACACTAAAAAACTGGGAGAGGTAGCCGAAAGGGCTTCTAGCTGGCTTTGGACGCAACGCAACAACGTAGGGGACGGGCCTCGGTGAGCTGGTCCGGGTGTCTAGCGGAAAAGGGTTTCTCACCCCTTGAAAGTCCATCGTGTCCGAATTGTCTGCCAGTGTTCCTCTGCCACCTGCTAACAAAAGTCCAACATGTGTTCGGTAAACCAATCGTAAGCTTGTCGCTCGGTCGTCCAGGCACGCTGACTGCTTTAATTAGGCTGCAGCGGCGATTTCTTATCTTACAGTACCTTCTACGAAACCACCAAGTCGTCTTGTCTCTGGCCGAAAGAAAAACACCATCCGGTAATTCCGTGCAGCAGGGAACCAGCCCTGAGCTTCATGAACTCAGGAGGGCCCACCTCCGAATGCGTCTAGGAATCGTGGGCCGAAACGTGTGTCGACGAGGATAATTTCTACTGACGACTGGTAGATCCCTGCTGTACTTGCTCCCTGTGAGTTTATTCCTAGTGGCGGCACACACTGGTAATGAACAGTTGATCAATGGATAACTGTTTGTCTAGAACCTGCCAAAAGCACCCACAAACAGGTCGTCTCTAGAACACTGACGGAACAGTACAACCTTGTACACTAGATTCAAATGGCTTCTAGGGCCAAACTCTGCCGCTACCACTCCACATCCATCTTTCAAGATGGCAGGGACCACCATATGACAGCTCTATATCCGAGAGACCCCTCCAAAGTAAGACTTTAAGGCAGATGTACCATAACTGGCGGAGAGAATGCAGACGACCGTCTGCTACCCGGCCATTTTTACTCTTGGTATCTATCACACACACCTCGCTATCACGTCCTGACACTGGTCAACTTGCAGTTACCACGTCAGTCTGTAGATCTAAAAGACGCTTGTCTCTCCGTCAGTCAGTGCAACACATACATACAGCAATGCTCCCCCTCCTTCCTTTCCTCTAACCCCCAACACAACACTTAGCTGCCTATTCTAGAAAATCACAATGAGGCATTCTGAAATCCCACTATCTGCTGCCCGTGATTGTGGAGCAGAAAGACAGACTCCTGAGCACATATTGCAGTATTGCCCTTACCTCTCCCAGTAAAGACTGTGGATCTGGCCCAGGGGATCCACATTGCGAGAGAAGCTAAGGGGGGACCGGTGGCGACCTTAATCGCACAATCCTATTTTGACCCAGACGGGGCTCAATGTGTAGCATGACTGATGTCGAACGCAGAAGAAGAAGAAGAAGAAGAAGAAGAAGAAGAAGTCCAACTTAGAATACAATAAATTCACGTGCACAATCCAAGCGCTCCACGGAATTAAAGAACACACATCCACAAGCTCCAAGGAACTTGAATAATGCGCGGGGACGACCACTCTTTGACTGAAAGCAAGTGATTCACACTACCGCGGGATTAGTCTACTGGCGGTCAGGGTCAGGTGGGTGTGGCCATACCAGCGGCCCTAGTGTTTACACTCACAACCAGTCCACACTGTGACCTGATCAGTCAAGTCACCCGGCCTGGTAATACATCTGTCTTTTTGTTTCCCAGCGACCCCTCGCAGGTTCTGACCATCGACACCAGTGACGTCAACAGACCTCCCGTGTGGTCATCGGACAACTTTTTCTGTAGCATTGATGAAGGCAAGGTAAGGGTTCAAGTCCTGTCAGCTGGTGTCGTACGTGGCCCAGGTACCATTGATGAAGGCAAGGTAAGGGTTTGAGTCCTGTCAGCTGGTGTTGTACGTGGCCCAGGTAGCATTGATGATGGCAAGGTAAGGGTTCGATTCCTGTTAGCTGGTTTTGTTCATGGCCCAGGTAGCATTGATGAATCCAAGGTAAGGGTTCGAGTCCTGTCAGCTGGTGTCGTACATGGCGCAGTTAGCACTGATGAACACGCGGTATCTAAGCGGTCAACTTAGTTCTAGTCCACTACTCATCATCATCATACACCGCCATCTTATAGCCGTACTGACCCTGGCATCTCCAAGTACTGCTTGGTCAAAATGGCTGCCAACTGATGAGAAAAATATTGTTAAAGTGTGTGTATATTCTTTAGTCGTAAGAGGTGGGGGAACGGTGGCGGGGGAGGAAAAGTGGGGGGGGGGGGGAGAGGGGCGGCTGTTGTCCCACAGTATTCAGTTATTTTTGCTGCATAAAAAAAAACGATTATAGCTTGCTATTTATTATTACCAGTTAACAAATGCATAAGAATATCTATGAGACTGCTAATTAATAAATGAGATGGAGTTTCTTTGTTGCAGGCTGGTGGTCCCTCATGCTCCCTAGGGGCCACTGTCAAAGATCCAGAAGGCAACTTCTTCACTGTGGAAATTGTGACGTTAAACAAAGAAAGATTTTTCAAGTAGGTGTCATACATGCTATATTTTTTTTAAGGGGAACATTTATGGGCGGCTCATTGCCGTACAATCAAATAAAGAGGATAGTGTCACTTCTAAAAGGACATCAACATAATACAGTGTGTCTGTTGTCAGATGCGTACTTCCTCTGTCTCATTTCAGACAGCAACTCATTACTGGATTTCGTGTGATCTCCCTTACCATTGTATGGTCTGCTGTTTTGTCTATCAAATCAACCTGATCTAGTTCAAACATCATAATAATGTCAGAGTCGCTAGAATACTAGGACTGCACAATGAACTAGGGCTGTAGCAGACACCTTCATGCGCGTCTTGCACTGTAATGAACGTGAACGTGAACGTCTTACACTCATTAGACACCACCTTGTACGTCTTGCACTCATTAGACACCATCATGCACGTCTTACACTTATTTGACCGTTATGCACGTCTTGCACTCATTAGACACTACCGTGCAAGTCTTGCACTGATTAGACACCATCATGCACGTCTTACACTCAATAGACACCATCATGCACGTCATGCATTCATTAGACACCGTCATGCACGTCTTGCACTCATTAGATACCACCATGCACGTCTTGCACTCATTAGATACCACCATGCACGTCTTGCACTCATTAGATACGAACACACACGTCATGCAATTTATTAGACACCAATATGCACCTCATGCATTCATTAGACACCTTTTTACACGTCCTACACTCATTAGACACCGTTATGCACGTCATGCATTCATTAGACACCGTCATGCACGTCTTGCACTCATTAGACCGTCATGAATGTCTTGCACTCATTAGACCGTCATGAACGTCTTGCACTCATTAGACCGTCATGAACGTCTTGCACTCATTAGACCGTCATGAACGTCTTGCACTCATTAGACCGTCATGAACGTCTTGCACTCATTAGACCGTCATGAACGTCTTGCACTCATTAGACCGTCATGAACGTCCTGCACTCATTAGACACCGCCATGCACGTCTTGCACTCATTAGACCGTCATGAATGTCTTGCACTCACTAGACCGTCATGAACGTCTTGCACTCATTAGACCGTCATGAACGTCTTGCACTCATTAGACCGTCATGAACGTCTTGCACTCATTAGACCGTCATGAACGTCTTGCACTCATTAGACCGTCATGAACGTCTTGCACTCATTAGACCGTCATGAACGTCTTGCACTCATTAGACCGTCATGAACGTCCTGCACTCATTAGACACCGCCATGCACGTCTTGCACTGTTTATACACCGCCATGAACGTCTTGCACTCATTAGACCGTCATGAACGTCTTGCACTCATTAGACCGTCATGAACGTCTTGAACTCATTAGACACCATCATGCACGTCTTACACTCATTAGACACCATCATGCACGTCTTACACTCATTAGACACCATCATGCACGTCTTACACTCATTAGACACCATCATGCACGTCTTACACTCATTAGACACCATCATGCACGTCTTGTACTCATTAGACACCATCATGCACGTCTTACACTCATTAGACACCATCATGCACGTCTTACACTCATTAGACACCATCATGCACGTCTTACACTCATTAGACACCATCATGCACGTCTTACACTCATTAGACACCATCATGCACGTCTTGCACTCATTAGACACCACCTTGCACGTCTTGCACTTATTAGACACCACCGTGCACGTCTTGAACTACTCATTAGACAACGCCATGCACGTCATGCACTCATAATTTTATACACCATTGACTGATATGTTTCAGTGACTAACAATTGTGCTGTGGTAGCTTACCCAAGTATTGCTTGTCTTCACAATTTCAGCTACCAGCCAAGCAGTGACCTTCTTAAATTTACTGTCGACTACGACCTGGACAAAGGAGGGTACCAACAGGACGTGACGGCCATTATGACAGCGACTGACAGCAAGGGCGCATCCAGCACTGCCACCCTTAAAGTCCATGTCAATGATCTCAATGACAATACATGCCAGACAGATCCGGAAGTAAGTTGTCTGTTGAGTAATTTCCAGAAAGGAATTGTTTGTTTAGCACTAGCAGCTATCTTTATATTTCTCGAGCGGCAGGCTGTAGGCTCGCTAGTCGACACAAATGTCTAGTTTAACTCCATCTCGGCGTACACGTTTTATAAAAACTGACCTTGGCCCCAGGATGCCCAGCTCAAAATGGCTACCAGATGATGTCAGTGATGTTGTTGACAGTATCCAGGGAGTACCGAATGGTCTAGAAAATATAATTCTAGCACTTGGTCCATACGCCAAAGACGGGACACGAGTCGTTTAATGACTTCATACGTTGTACTACATGCTGTATGACTTTGCTTGGAGATGTCACACTGTGGTCATTGTCTCTGATATACTGCTGTATCAACAGTTGCTTGGAGATGTCACACTGTGATCATTGTCTCTGATATACTGCTGTATCAACAGTTGCTTGGAGATGAGTGATCATGTGCATCAACAGTTGCTTGGAGATGTCACACTGTGGTCATTGTCTCTGATATACTGCTGTATCAACAGTTGCTTGGAGATGTCACACTGTGGTCATTGTCTCTGATATACTGCTGTATCAACAGTTGCTTGGAGATGTCACACTGTGGTCATTGTCTCTGATATACTGCTGTATCAACAGTTGCTTGGAGATGTCACACTGTGATCATTGTCTCTGAAATACTGCTGTATTAACAGTTGCTTGGAGATGTCACACTGTGATCATTGTCTCTGATATACTGCTGTATCAACAGTTGCTTGGAGATGTCACCAGTGATCATTGTCTCTGATATACTGCTGTATCAACAGCTTTGCTGTGGAGATGTCACACAGTTGTGATCATTGTCATTGTCTCTGATATACTGCTGTATCAACAGTTGCTTGGAGATGTCACACTGTGATCATTGTCTCTGATATACTGCTGTATCAACAGTTGCTTGGAGATGTCACACTGTGATCATTGTCTCTGATATACTGCTGTATCAACAGTTGCTTGGAGATGTCACACAGTGATCATTGTCTCTGATATACTGCTGTATCAACAGTTGCTTGGAGATGTCACACTGTGGTCATTGTCTCTGATATACTGCTGTATCAACAGTTGCTTGGAGATGTCACACTGTGGTCATTGTCTCTGATATACTGCTGTATCAACAGTTGCTTGGAGATGTCACACTGTGATCATTGTCTCTGATATACTGCTGTATCAACAGTTGCTTGGAGATGTCACACTGTGATCATTGTCTCTGATATACTGCTGTATCAACAGTTGCTTGGAGATGTCACCAGTGATCATTGTCTCTGATATACTGCTGTATCAACAGTTGCTTGGAGATGTCACACTGTGATCATTGTCTCTGATATACTGCTGTATCAACAGTTGCTTGGAGATGTCACACTGTGATCATTGTCTCTGATATACTGCTGTATTAACAGTTGCTTGGAGATGTCACACTGTGATCATTGTCTTTGATATACTGCTTTATCAACAGTTGCTTGGAGATGTCACCAGTGATCATTGTCTCTAATAGACTACTGTATTAACTGTAGCTTGGAGGTATAAGGCCTATCTCTCACTGGTGAAGATCGGGAGACGTTTTGGCAGGCAAACTCACGATCAAGTATACAATCTAGTTGCTTTACCCACGTACATGTAACAATGATCACATTTTCTGACGGTTGCAGCTTCAGTTCCAGCTGGATGACACTGACGAACTGCAGCGACTGGGAGCCATCTCTGGAGTCGACCAGGACGCCACACAACCCAACAATGAGATCCACTTTGAGGTGGGCTCGGCCGATCCCAGCTCTGCGACAGATCATATCATGGTGACCAGGAATGGGGAAGTGTTCTATACACGTGAGCGGTCTGTGATGTCTTGGTGTTCTATGGGGGTAGTTGTTCTATACACGTGAGCGGTCTGTGATGTCTTGGTGTTCTATGGGGGTAGTTGTTCTATACACGTGAGCGGTCTGTGATGTCTTGGTGTTCTATGGGGGTAGTTGTTCTATACACGTGAGCGGTCTGTGATGTCTTGATGTTCTATGGGGGTAGTTGTTCTATACACGTGAGCGGTCTGTGATGTTGTTCTTAGTTGTTCTATACACGTGTGAGCGTGTCTATGGGGGTAGTTGTTCTATACACGTGAGCGGTCTGTGATGTTCTATGGGGGTAGTTGTTCTATACACACGTGAGCTTGGTGTCTGTGATGTCTTGATGTCTTGGTGTTCTATGGGGGTAGTTGTTCTATACACGTGAGCGGTCTGTGATGTCTTGATGTTCTATGGGGGTAGTTGTTCTATACACGTGAGCGGTCTGTGATGTCTTGATGTTCTATGGGGGTAGTTGTTCTATACACGTGAGCGGTCTGTGATGTCTTGATGTTCTATGGGGGTAGTTGTTCTATACACGTGAGCGGTCTGTGATGTCTTGGTGTTCTATGGGGGTAGTTGTTCTATACACGTGAGCGGTCTGTGATGTCTTGTAGTGTTCTATGGGGGTATGTCTTTGTTCTATACACGTGAATGGTCTGTGATGTCTTGATGTTCTATGGGGGTAGTTGTTCTATACACGTGAGCGGTCTGTGATGTCTTGATGTTCTATGGGGGTAGTTGTTCTATACACGTGAGCGGTCTGTGATGTCTTGGTGTTCTATGGGGGTAGTTGTTCTATACACGTGAGCGGTCTGTGATGTCTTGGTGTTCTATGGGGGTAGTTGTTCTATACACGTGAGCGGTCTGTGATGTCTTGGTGTTCTATGGGGGTAGTTGTTCTATACACGTGAGCGGTCTGTGATGTCTATGATGTTCTACGTGAGCGGGGGGTAGTTGTTCTATACACGTGAGCGGTCTGTGATGTCTTGGTGTTCTATGGGGGTAGTTGTTCTATACACGTGAGCGGTCTGTGATGTCTTGATGTTCTATGGGGGTAGTTGTTCTATACACGTGAGCGGTCTGTGTGATGTCTTGTAGTTGTTCTATACACGTGAGCGGTCTGTGATGTAGTTCTATGGGGGTAGTTGTTCTATACACGTGAGCGGTCTGTGATGTCTTGATGTTCTATGGGGGTAGTTGGGGTAGTTGTTCTATACACGTGAGCGGTCTGTGATGTCTTGATGTTCTATGGGGGTAGTTGTTCTATACACGTGAGCGGTCTGTGATGTCTTGATGTTCGTGGTGTTCTGTGAGCGGTCTCTGTGATGTCTTGATGTTCTATGGGGGTAGTTGTTCTATACACGTGATATTTTATTTCTAAAAGTAAATACATCTTTTCGCATGCAGCTGTGCTGTGTATATGGTGCTATTATTATAATGAATGGACCTGTGAGCTTGTTTACCTTCATAAATCTTTGCAGGTTGTTTGTGCATGAATAATGTAATCTCTGACTCTTTGGCAGACCCTGTCACCAGAAGGAGTCAGTTCAGATCCATGCTGGTTTGAGGCCAAATAACTGCCCTCTTTCACTTCTGAGATTCCCTGAGTAGAATTGATCTTCTTTCTTCTTTTGTCAAAATCTGCTTGTGCCGCCAGGCGTCGCAGTCTATCAGATGATCGGCAACCGAGCCATGGCGCGCTCAGTCGCTTCATATGCCGTGATGTTATGAAGTCTCAAGTTGTCCGTGACTTCTTCAATCCATCTTCTTCTTGGCCTTCCCCTGGACCAAACCATTTCATTCTTTGCTTCTCAAAAAATTTAACGATGC